TATGACAGCCAGATATATGCACTGAGTATTTAAATTCGATTTTAGTATACAGTGATCAACTAACATTAACTATATTTATCAAAATAGGTTTATTAAGATAAACAGTCTATCGAACTATATTATATTTCCAATGCATTTGAATTTAATTAATAATAACTGTGATTTAAGTAACCACGAAAAATATATTTTATTCAATATATGTATAAATACATCCATAATTCCTTAAATTTCATTATATCTTAGCGCAACTGATAAAAGGTTGAAACCCAAATTTAAATTAAACACAACGTTCAATTATCACTTATTGCACTTATTAAACTATGAGCAATGCAAAGGAGCAGTTTATTTTGCAATTAAATATTATGATAAATTTACCTACCATAGGTATATTGTAATATTAATATTATTTAGCTAAATTCTCACATAAATTATAATAATTTTAAATAATAGCTTCAATTGTATAAAGCTGTTACATTTGCACATTATTTTCATTATAAATGTATCATTCTTTTCTAAAAATGATTATTATTTTTATAAGAATTTACAATTTAATTATTACGGTAGTATATTTACCAAGGTACACTGTAAGTTAGTTTTTATTTTTTCATTGCGTTGTAAAATTTATAAATATAGTGATTTTGAATTAGTAACATATTTGCATTATGAAACTTTCCAATAGTAATTTAAATATTATTTGTTACAATGAATTAAACGCAACTTTAGCTTGTTGACAAAATCCATAAGTTTAAACAATTTCTCACGGGTAACAATAATTAGCATATATTTTAATAGGAATACGCGTAAGAGTGTCATTAAAGGAAGGGACGTTGTTGTTAACTTTGTGGAGAATTATGGTAATATATAAGCGTACACTTAACGTTTAACGATTCACGTAGTGTCTTTTATGTGATTTTATATCGTGAGTCGTTATACAAAAATAAAAAAACACAACAAAAAACGATGATAAAATCAATTTTTGAGGTGTTAAAAAGGCAGTAGAGTGTAGAGTGAACCTATGCTATATAATAATAAGGGAAAAACACAACCAAAAATACTAGAAAATAGGTGAACACCCCTACCACGACATAATATGGTAGGAACCCAAATTGTGTTATATCCATTTCCTTCTCACTCTGTAGCTAAATCATCAGTGCAACATGTCCTCACGCTCATTCGCTCTCCGTCTCCCGTCACTGAACATGGTTTACTCGTCAACCGCATTGCGCGACTAGCTCCAACAACCTGCAACTAGTCGTTATCGGTCAGAAAAAAAAAACCCGAGAAGAATACTTACTCGCTATATTATTGCACATATAGTATAGTAACTTCGGTAACGATAATGGCTGACAACGGCTGTTGATAGCGAAAGGAAATAGTGGGACCTCCTCCCTCCCCTCAACAACACACCGACACACATATAAGTACACTATGGTATGCGTGTGTGTGTGTATGGGAACCTTAGTGCTGGTATATATATATATACATGTATAGTGTCCGCAGATACAACATAAAAGCTTTTAAAGATAATACGGGCGAGAAAATAACATCGTGCCGAGAATGTCGGAGACGACGGGCACCGAGTTCATTGTTGGTGGCCATTGTTAAGTATGACGGCGGTGGCGGTGGCCGTGGCGACGAGACGAGCGGTGAGTCGGTCAATGTCGGTGGATGGGTGGAAGGGGTTGAGAAGGGGTTGGCTGGAAACTGCCGAACCGTTTACTGTTTATATCGTCATTCGTCCTCGCCCGGACGGTAGCGCCGTTTTTGTGTCCACACGTTCGCCCCCTTTCCGTCGCCACGGACTCATATTTGTCAGGGTTATACGCACTAACGTTCCATATAATATTTAGCTCCAAATACGATATAATATTAATCAATAAGTCTTTTTATTCGTCGGTCAGCGTTAATTATATAGACAAGACTTTAGAGATGCCACCAGTCTTACGGCAAACGTAAATGGATTTTCGACTAACGACCTTAAATACCGAACATGTTCTCGGGACGGAATGCGCATTTTGTACCAAACCGACGCCGAAATATACCCTTTGCGTAGATCGATACGAAGCGCTTTAGCCAGCTGAGACCATGCTCTGAACAGACGACCAGATGCGTCTATTCGTGATTGATATTATTATAGCGTCCTAGGATGTTTTTTCGCTTCCGTTTCCCCTTGCAGCATATTTACTAGTGAAATTATTGGATTTGCACAAAACTGTTTATTTCGCAATTTACCTGGTGCGAGTTTTCTAAATGATCAAGTCACTGACATTATTTTTTTAAAAAAACTCGATCAAGAGAGTGCTCTATCTACTTGAGAGTCGCGGGTATATTACCTGTAGTTTAGTATGTTGCAGCCACTTCTCCTTAGCTCTCAAACAGTGAAAAAAAAAAAAAAAAACAAAAAATTAAAAAAAAAACCAAATATCCAATGTATATAAGATCTCAATATATTATTTGGGGTTTATGTCTACAACAGACATTTTGGATATCTGTCATGAAATACCATGTTCACTATCCTCACCATGTTTATGTTCCAACTGATAACTACCATTATGATGATGTACAAATTCTATACTATGCTTCCATATATTTTCGAAAAACGTTATGCATTTTTAATACTGTTAAACATATGACGGAGCCGATGGTTGTGCATGTGCAGCAGTCGTCATTTCAAAAGTCAAAAGTAGCAGATACACCACCCGTTAGCGACCTAGTTTTACCACACGCAAGCGTATCGTACCACGACGTCATGCTTGCCGCATTATTACAAACATTTATACGCGTCAGACGCAAAATTTAATTGGATTAACTTAGTAGTGTCCGACCTTTGTTAATAACCCATAAAGGTACAACAAAGAAGACAATTGTATCGCTTTTAACAAGGATAAGATATAAGATTATATCCTTACCATTACGAGTGGGTGTGTGTGTGAGAGAGAGTAATACTTCATACCTAGTACATGTTTATTATTTTTTTTTTATTAATTTATCCAGAAATATTGCGGCACTAAGTCTAGTCATGGAATTGTATAGGTACCTAAAATATTAACCAAACGTTTAAACAAAACATTATAAATCGCACATCGTGTCATTTAAATTACTTGTAACTAAGTAAGAGTTATTATTTATGATAATAGTTATATTATTTTAAATGTATTTTCATTTAAGTAAAATGTTCATAAGATAATATTATTTGAGTGAAATTGGTTGTTATAAAGATACACACCGCATTTTAGAGAGGATAGAGGACGTAGGTATTATTGTTTATTATTATTGCGTTACCCATTACCTATTTAAAAATCTAAAACCCCATGTAATGTAAGGCAAAATGTACATTAAGCTTGGATATTTTTCATTTTTAGTCAAATACATTTATTAAAAAAGTTGGGATAATTACTGAAAATCACGGCATTATGTTAAATAATTACTGTACACAAGTTTTTATTTTAAAGTGATGCAAAATGTCATCGTTTAAATCAAACTAATTTTATATTAGGCCAGTAAGTTCAATATCACTATCTAACTAACAATTATTAGTACAATAATACAGTACAATTAATATAATTAATATATATTAAATATATAATATTATTTTATAAAAATTGAAAGTAACTTAAAATGCTTTCTTCATTATGTGAGTTTTTTCAAAAACCATATCATATTGTTCTATAGATACATACTCTTAATATAAAATTCACATACAATTACTATTACAATTACATATACAATTCATCAGCTATAGTCGTTCAAGAAACGTAATCGGAGACGACCAATTTTCGTCCAGCCGCAGTCAGGAAACATCCTTTTGTCACTCTCATCCCGTAAATTATCTGTATACCTGTCGTGTAAGATTGCCACGCCCCTGTACAGTGTACACAAGTCGACAGCTGACTAGTGACTATGTTTCTACACTCGAACAGATTACATAAATGTCTATAGAAATCTCTAATGCACTATTCCAAGTTTTGTTTTCAATATAATATATTTGGTTTTAAATATACTTACATAAATTATAAAATACGAAATATTTGCGTATCCATGTAGATAATAGCTTATACAATATAAAAAGATACAGGTAGAATTATTTAATACATATTTATAGAATAAAGCAAATTTCTACATCAGGTTAAAACGGTACCTAACACAAAGTTAACCACGGGATATTATTAATAATGCTCATTAAGTACTGAAGTTTTAGCGAAACATGCTCGTTAGTCACATGCGTCTTTAAAAGCCCAACTTTTATTCACTCATTCACGACCCACACAACGCGTATAGTCGGAAATAGTCTCTTAAAAACGTCTAATAGGAGTGGAGTAAGAGAATAATTAATGTGCTCAGCAAAAACTTCCAGATTAAAACTGTACATGCGTAGTTTTGATCAAGTTTATAAAATTAAGAAGTATAGACGCCGTCAGAAACGTATGCTCTACATACATCAACTTGTCACGTCTAACTAGGGACTATACGTGGGTACGTGGTAAGAGAGGAAATCTAGGTATATTGTAAGGGAAATATTTCGTACGGCAACACACGCGACTTGTACTATAACACGTCCCCCGTCGTGTAGCAGTTGTCGTTATTACCTTTATAACTGTTGTCGAGTTTAGCAAATAATTTAATTTCTTTACCAGTATGGCCGTATAATAATAGAAAAACACCATTAAAACAAACCACGATAGGCATATACCGATTTGCGTTAATTATCAAAACATAATAAAATAAACTACGCCGTTCACGTTTTTGAATTCATTCCAAAACAATAGTCACATTATGGATTACGAAGACTCGCGTTTGTTTCTTTTACAATTGCCGACCAAAGAATATTGATTGCGTTTAAAATAATTATCATATTGCAGTTATTATTGTAATAGCATTGATTAAGTTGTTTGTGTTATTTATATTCATACGATTGAAGTGATTGAACAACCTTTAGATTAAACAGAGTGGTTTTCAACACACACCACACTTGATGAGTCAAACAAAAAACTGTGTTCGTTTTTTTATTTTTATAGATTAAATATTTATGCAATGAATACATACGTTTCAATATTTTTTAAAAATTGCTCCTTCCTTGAATAACAGCTGGATTTTAATTAAATATGTTTCTAAAAATTGTATAGTAATACAATATAATATTAAATATCTATATTATTAATTTGAAGTTTAAATGCAAGTAAGCGATTGATAGTGATTGAATCTTACATTTCCCCAGGTATTTTTACCATGGAATTTGTTTTTATTTACCCTTTTACCGTTGTACATTTTCTGTCAAGTTTTTTGATAAGTTATTTTGTTTGTATACATCAAATGAATCTTCTTGATTGTTACCATTTGTCATCTTAGCATTCTCACTAAATAGTTTGTTAAACTTCTTGAACCGAAAATAGTTGTTGTTTTCAAAAATGCCATATCCATTAACCAGCATGAGTTTCAAAACCCAGTGCACAACTCAAGATTTGACATAACGATCAGGTTAATACTTAATATCACGAATAATAAATTAAAATGTTAGTAACAATGTGTAGTATGCTTTTTTTCCCTTTTTTTTATTAAATAAAGTCTTACTGACATATTATGTCATCTTAACTTAATGTTGAATAGATACATTATTATTTTTAACATTTTGAAAATGGATAACAATTAGTAATAATATTGGAAGATTATTAGTAAACAAAGAAACTATCAGCTACGTTTTAAGGTATTTACAAATCACAAGAAATTAAAATTAGTAATAATAATAATAATAATAGTTATATAATAACAGGTGTAGTATGCTAATATTAGCCTATAGAAAGTATTTTAAGTGTTTTCTCTTAAATTGAATTTAAATGTCTTATGTATCTTATCCATATCAGCAGAGCAATCACTGTAGCCACAGCACATGTTGAATTTTACACAATTTAAGCATGTTTATCTGTAAATACGGTAATGTATTTTATTATCTAATAATTCTAAAAAAATACTAATTGTTTTTATGCCAGTGTGGTTTTGTAATAATAAAATTACCTATCCAACTGAATTTTCAAATAAATGTACTGGTGTATGAATTCCCAAATCGAAATCAATTTTCCAAGAAGTTTTACTATAGGAAAATAATGATGTAGCTGGTCATTTTTATTAAAACTGGTTCTGTATTATGACAAAAAAAAATGAGTAAGAGCATCGCCCGAGGCGTTCATAAAATAAATAAGATAATGCGTTTTACGCGAACAATACGATTATAATGGAAAATATAAGACAGGTACGAATTAGTTTGGTGGTTTGAAGTATTCATTAAAATGCAGGCAATTCTTTAACGCACCAGACGTATCTACTGAATTTCAATTATGATTCAGCATTAATAATAATTTCGAGTTTCATTATACGTCATCACCCTTGCCAACATCATTTCGACATTCCTGAGTGATTGGAAAAAATATCGACAACCCTCTGGTTTTTACACGGATACCGTTTACCGTTCATTCAGGAATGCTTGTCGCCACCATAGCAATATTTTCAAGCCATCCAAAGTGATGGTATTTAAACAGTTTGGAATTCGGTAAAAGTGAACCATAAAGTTGGGTGTCAACTAGACATAAAGAATAGTTCAAGATAGAATAGAAAGCTAAGACTGTAAGAGGTTTTCAAATATATTTTTGATTTAAGAGTTGTCGGAAATACTGAAGTCTTTACTTCGTTTCACATTGAGAATAATCTTAGTACAAAATAATTACTAAGTATAAAGTTAATTCAATAAATGTAATACCATAGACCAGGGTCTACTTTATGTTTTATATGAACGTGTAATGTGTGTTAATATAATGATTAAAGAATGTAATAATGGATTTTTGACAGTGTTTACATTATTTTAATAAATCGTTATTTATGAAATAATTTTTTAATCCGATAACAATAGTAAAAAAAAATTGATAAGCATTGAAGTTATTTGATAGTTGTGAACATAATTTATCAGTTATGGACTCATGGTTAAAATCACAGTATCTGATACCTAACTATATTAACACATATTTAAGTACAAGTACATATTTGTATTTTAATTAAATTTGAATATTTTAAAGAGCAGATGAAAAACATAGAAATAAATATTAGCTGTCGATTGTTTCTTGCCACTAAGTAGGTCACCGTAATGGCTGTGTTAAATTTGAATTCAATGAAAAACTAAAGGATACAAAAAATGATTCTGAGCAGACATATATAGTTCTGAACTGAGACTAATAATGTATTTTTTTTCTATAAGTTAAGTAAAACTAGGTAGGTTGAACTAATGTATGCCAAATACAAATCACATTTATTATATTCAAGTAATTCTTTTATTATTAGCTGATATTAAAAAGCCAATTAATTAAAATAATATGTGATTTAAATAGTTTTTGAATTGCTACATCTACAGTAAATTATAATACATGTAATTTTATAAAAGTTATAAGCCCCCACAAGTAATATTTTGAATTACAACAAAATACTTAAAATCATTATGTTTTGCTTAAATATTAAATGTTGTCAAAATCTGCACTTTAAATATCTATAGAAAAAAAATTTTGAAATATTATGTATTTTTGATATTTTTGATTAGGTAAAATAAAAAAATAAAAGAAACTACGCATTCCACTTAAAAAAAAATGAAAGTTGTGTACATGTTAAACTACAAAATAGTTTAAGGGATATTTTTAATTTGTCACAATTTGAAATTCAAACACTTATATAAATTTTTGGACATTTTTAAATTGCATTAAAAATAACTAAGGGAGGAATCCTGTATTAAATTAATTATGTTTTTGATCATCTATAAACATTTTAATTAGCCTTTATAACTATAAAACATTTAAAAAAAAAACTATTTTGTGATTTGTTTTAATTACTCAATAGCTTATTTTACTATTGCTCAAACCTTGACAGTAAATTTAAAAAATAAAAGTACACATTAATAGTTATTTCTCACAGAAGTCAATAGAACTTTTAGATATCGTCATTTTTATAGGTAGGTGTGAAAAAATAATATATTATATATATTAAAACCGTTGACAAAAGAACACTTCACGCATTATTGAAGCACATAATATACGTTTAGTCGCATGTTGGAAATCGCGAGAAATAGGTTTGAACTGTCCAAATATTTCGTGTGGTTGACCTCCATCACCTACCATACTTGTACAAAAACAACGTGTCGTGAGACGGACGTGTCTTGAAACCGCAACTATAATGTCAAACTTGCAAGCAAACACCGTCACAGCCATATAGAGAATCTGTTGGCGCAGTACACGAATTGGTTACTTAAGATGTTCAAACATTTTTCGGCCGTCCATTATGTGCAACTCCTACAGTATAATCATTTTATTAATACAACAGCAAATTCGTTTGTTATCTTAACTTTTGTTTGGAATCAAATTAAAATATACATTTCGCTGTATAACACAGCAATTCGTTTAAAAAATAAACTTAAATACTAAATTAATCAACATTTAACGAAATAAAATATTGTAAATGTAAAATTGTATTTGGTTACCGCGAAAAGAAAGTCACAACTATAATCTATTTTATTGTAACGAATTCCGTTATCTATAGTTCAGCTGGAGTCATCAGATAGACGTCATTTTACCAACGTACGTTCTACGAACGCATTATATCGTATTCGTGTATTAAGAACCATTTGAATATGTACACTATGTAGAATTTAAAAGATTTTATGTGTAATATAACCACCACGAGAAAAGTAAATTCCGTAAACTAAACTCATAATTTGTGACGTAGCCTTCTCTGAAACGCATAAATATCCCAAGTTTCCAAATGAACACTAACAATTGAGTTTATTCGAATACATCATTTATCTAGAACTTGCAAAATTACAGCTGGCACTTATTTTTTCTTAACAACCAATTTCTTTTAAATGCCTAATGTGTCCGATACATTGATTATGTAATATGTTATATAAAAACAGCTCATACTTCATGTCTTCATCACTGTCGCACTAATTCGAGAGGGGCGTTTGTGCTCAACCATGCCAAAAACTTATATTTTTTTATTATACCTATTCAAATATAAATATTATTTTGTAAAAGCATAGATTATATAGTACACTCATATTTTTAAGAATATTTATTATTTGCTCATAACTTATAATGTACATTCGTCACACATACAATTGACACAAAGTGCTGTACCCATTTTATTTCATACACGTTGCGCATGTAAACTAATTAATAAAATAACCTGCATTGTACAACAGTGGATGTATGGGTACATAAGGGCTGTTTACTTCAGTAAATATAACTTTTATCTTTCATTGTTATACTGTTCAAACTGCTTCATATGTTAATTTAATTAATACATTTAAGATGTAACTATTTTTAGGTTTCATTTAATCGTATGTTTTTCATTGTAAATAACAATCGACACTTTGTGTATTTAAATTGTAACGTATATTCATTCTTTGTAGACAATGTTTGTATATAACAAAATTGTAATTTAATTTTAAAGTCTGTATATTATACCTAATTATTTCTCTCTAATGGCTATTTCCTTAAATCCACTAAATAAATAAATATACAAATTTTCAAAGCCATTTATTTTTTCATATAACACTATTTCATAAAATTTAATTATTATAACTATATTTATATTAAATAATTAAACATATACCTTTGTATATATATATATAAATGTATGATAAGTTATGTGATTAATTACTACATTTAAATATTTGATAAATATTCTGAATAGTTCTATTTTGTATGCTTGATTCCTAAATATTATACTATATCAATTTAAAAAAAAATCTCTTCTATATAAGCCTTTTTTATATTTTATTTGTTAATAATCAAGTAATGGTTTATTTGTATTTTGAAAAACAATATAAAGGACTCACTAATCAAATACACAAGACACTAAAAATACGTAAATTGTAAAAGCATTTAAACTTATGTTTTTTCTTTACCGTTTTTTTCTATTACTATTCCTAACTTCAATCGATAGCCTTTCAAATGTCAGTCAAGGGTTCAATCTTGAGTTTCTATGAAACAAATTCTCTTATTGAAACTCAATGCAATGATAATGAACCAAAACGGTAGGTATATCAACAGTAAGAGAGTAGGTACACACGGTTTTTCACTTCAAAAGAAAACCTATCAAGGTGTGTTTCTATTTTATTTTGTCAGGCATGAATATTAACGATTCTATATAAACTTAAAACCAAAACGGATCAGCGATACTAAGTAAGTCGTGGTTTTGAAGTCTTCTACCGGTGAATTCTTACTTTCATTTAGTTTTGTAATATATACCTATATATTTTTTTCATTATTTGAAAAAGTTTCAATGTTCATAATGGTATTATTATTGACATTATGCTTAAGATTATTTATCTGAATCAGATGAGCTTTCGGTTTTTTTTTCAGAGATTCTAAATGGTCCAGCTTTTTAACAATGGCACATTGTCGAACCACTATTAACGATATTCAGAGCAAAACATCTCCACGAACGTCATTTGTCAGAGTAAACTATTTGATAGAACTGTAAACTGTATAATAGTCGATGATAAAGTGTTCAAATCTTCTTATTCGTGTATAACACAATTCACTTTTTGGGACATTTAAGGAAAAAAATTCCAAATTATACACGTGTTTACGTAATATCAATGTTAATATTAGTAACTTAACTTAGAGCTACTGAATAACTATGTGATTAAACAATAATAAGAAAAATGCACTTAGTTTACAATAAGTGATATAGGTACTCACATATTATATCTTAAACAAACAATATATTTTTTTCAATAGCAAAGGTACAAGTTATTTTCAATTTCAAGAAAAATAATAAGGTTTTTACTTATTTATGGCACGATAAAAATCTAAAAATATTTAAATGTCCAATATATTGTTACTATTTTAAATTATATTCACAGATGTTGAATATTTTTTTTTTCTCACTATCTTGATCAGAGTGTATTTATGCTTATAAAGTTATAACAAAGATCATAATGATGTTGTTCTTAAGTTTAATTACTAATATATATATATATATAATAGAAACACTGTATTTCAGATTTCAGATTTGCTTTCTATTGAATAAAACTTACATATTGTTTACTTGTCTGTTTTGGATGTTTTCCAACACTATAATATATATCTACCCAAACAATTACACATAACTTAGTATACATTCAACATATTATATCTCCTAAATGCTGGATCACATTATCTTAGTCGGTATACATGTCTCGATGGTTCATTAATGTTCAAAGGATCGTTGCCACTAAGCGGTTTAAAGGGTTCTTTAAACCCTCAGGTTACCTTAATATACTCATTAACATTGGTAATTCACGGATATAATTATTACACCTCAATATATTTAATGCCACTACCTAGCTAGAATCAATATTATTATAATACTAAAACGATATAAAATCATATGTGAATATTAGAATGATATGAAGTACTTATAATTATTAATATTTCATTTAAATCATAAAACGTTGAATTAAATAGACAAAACCTTTTTTTTCTTCTCCTCAGGTGAGCTAAATAATAATTTTTGAATACAAATAAATTGTATTTAGAGTATTCAACAATGTAATTAATTCACTGCCGTTGTTGAAAAACTAAGAGTTTAATACAATTTTTTTTCCATTAGATACAATTTTATAAAATATAAATTATTTTAAATTATATTCTTTAATAATTTGTTTTAGATATTGTACATTGAACTAGATGCATTATTAACTACGTACAAATAAGTATAGTGAACAAGAATAATATTACTTTGTGTTGTGTTTTAAGCGGAGTTTTAAGCTTAAATAAAAACAAATTCATTTTATTGTTATATTATTATAATATTACAATTTTAAGATAATGATAACAACAGTGATATTGGTCTTTATTCAACATTCCAATATTTATAGTTAAAATTAATTAATATATTGATGAATAAACAAACGAATCTATCCAGCAGTTAAAATTATAAATGGTTATTTTTGAATGATTGATGTGGTGTTTTTAGTTATACTCACTGAAATGCCTTGTACAAACACATTTTATGGTGTTTATTTAAACGTTATGATTATACAGTGTTATACTTTGTATAGTAACGAGTACATTTTAAGTTGTCATAAATAATTTAAAAATAAATCGAAAGAAAAATACTTTTGCATAAAAATTGTTCAAAAATATAATCTGATCACAAATGAAGTGCTGAGTATAGACACCTGAGTAAATTGTTTCCAGCGATATTATGATAACAATAAATGATTGTATATTGTGTTGATAGACCGTATACTATTATAATTAAGTGTATACATTTTATTTTCTTGTAAATGTTAATAAAAAATAATTATTTGAATGTTGAGATGAACTAAAAACTGAGATATAACATTTAAAATAAATAAATAATATACTTTCGCACAAAGTAAGATTCGATAAAATCACATACATAAGTTAAATGTAACCACGATCAAGTGAACCAATAATAGTATAAAATACAGAAATAAAAATATATAATCTTGGTGCATTTTGTATTAATACAAATTGTAAATGGATTTTAAATTGATAATTAATGGCATAAACAATAAATATGGTATAATATTTAATGCAGACCATTAAAAAAAATGAAATAGTTGTATATTGAATATTTATGTATTTTACTATTTAGGTTTCTATATTAATAACATTAGCTTCCTCGTCCAGTGTTACTGATGGATATCTATTCTCCTCAAGCATTCATTGCCAATATAAATATATGCTTATTTAATTATGTTTGCAGATTGCATATATTGTAATAAATGTTTAAAAAAATACACTTTGTTTATTGATAAATTAAATATTTGTTGAATAACTATATATTGAAAATAATTTTCATTAGATTTTATTCATCAAAAAATGTCCTGTAGTTCTTATCTATAATATATGATTAAAATGTAGCCACTACTTTTTTTTAAAATTAATACAAGTGGCTCAACAATTTCAAAGATGGATATTATTTATCAGAAAAATAATATGTTGAAGATGATACAAAGATATCGCGTCATCCAAGCTCGGAATCGTTTATTAAAAACTATAAGTAAGAGTTAAAGAGTTAGAGAGTGACAGGCCTCTAAAGTAATTTGACATTTTTCAAATGCAACATTATGCATTTTAGTGAGATAAGATGTGTCGAGATCATGAAATGTGACAAATGGCACTCTCTGCAATCTGTATCATGATAATAAATTACCAATAAAAATTGTTTTATTTATTTTCAAAAAAAACATTACTTTCAATTATTAGGAATGCAAAATATTGTGTCAAAAATGTTGATTATTTTCTAACAAAAAATTCAGTTCTATAAATAA